ACACCCGCATATATACCCGTCGTTAAACAGAAATAACCGACTGAATTTTTGAGACCTTAGTAAAATGTAAAGCTAGATTTGCTGAATTCGCACTTGATTTCTTTGTTAACTTAAAGCCAGTTGTCACGATTGGCCTTCTACTAGGGAAACAAGACATGAAAGGAATTGATTAACCGAAGAAGATGAAATAATTTTCACTCACATGTTCATATATTGATAAGGGCTGACTTAGTGATGAACACAAGAAAAACGATGTTCGCTTCTACACATAATTGTTCAATTTATACAGCAAACAATGACGCTAAATCATTAATCCCTTTCACACTCCAATAAAGAGGGATAAATCATAAGAAATAGCCAATGTCTCAAATATCCATTCGATTTCAAATATAAAACTCTGTTCAGAATTCACTCTATAGTTTGAACGCTTTCAGTAAACAATAGAGGCCATTGAAGTTGAAAAAACATCGATGAAAAAGTTCCAAGAGTGAGAGTATACTTTTAGTGATTTGAGTTATATGACCCCAACTGAAAGGAGCAAGTGTTGTCAGAGTTCAGGTTGAAACATTGGCAAGAAATGAAATATTCATAGCCGCCAGGCCATTATATATATATTCCTACATTCAGACATCTTTATTAACTATCGATGCTCTTCTTGTCAACGAAAAATAAAATCAAAAAATATTTATTTTCGAGCTCATGCAATTGCTTGAGCTGCATTGATCGACACATTTATGTTTTATCACATCAACAAAAAAAATTGAAACGCTTACTAGGGTTACCATGAAACACCTGTGTAGGCTTACAGCAAAAGTTAATGGTTTCACATATTCATATATATATATATATATACTTGTGCAAGATATTACTTTACATACAATTACACAAATGCATCTTGCTTCATTTTTCATGATTGTCGTTGTCTATGTGAAACTAGACAACGTCAAAGGCGAGTACACAACAGCGGAATACGTTGACTGTGGCTCTGAAGATGTTGTAATTCATTCTTTTAATATCTATCCAATTCCTATTCATTATCCTGGCACTTTCAATGTAACGATGTCATATACACTGAAACGATCTATCAGTAAGTATCACTAAAATGAAATTAATGTTTAAAATATCTGGCATTCAACATATAGAAAATTTCCAGTTGTCCATCAACATGGTGCGCAAAGTTAGTGGTATTTCTCTTCCTGTAAGATGTTACATGATAAGCGGCTCTTCTATCGGCTCATGTACTTACACTGATAAACAATTTTGTCAAATGATGCAGATGGACTTCCCGAAAGGATTGGGATTGTATCTAGCTTCAGCTCTTTCGAATATTCTCGGAAATCGATGTGATGGTTTTTCGCGTGAAGTTCTGACAAACCAGCCTGTTACATTAAAAGAAATGCTCCATTTTTCAGCTATGCCTGACACTGTGTCGTGGATGAAGCATGGTGATATTGACTTCAAAGTAGTCGTTATGGAAGGCGACAAAAAGGTCTTCTGTGGAACATTTGCGTACCCAGTACGGATGATCATCAATGTATGATCGTATATTAACTGCAATCTATACAACTAATTTAATTATTGTAGAAGCTTATAAAAATGTTGAGTCATTTATATAAGTTACTTGCAAGAATAAAAGATAAACGTTCTGCGTCTTCATAGAAATCCCAATTATTATCTGTAAAAAGAAGGCATGGGTGTCGGTGTAGAGTTTGAGTAATGATGGGTGGGTGTGCCTCTTTTTGCGTCCAAACACACAAACGCACACACTTATTCCATACACTGAAAGGAAGGATCTAGAAACGGAAATTTACCTGTGTCCGTTCGTCTGTCTAACTTCAAAACATGGTACTAGTGACCACGACAGTGATAAAAGTTATTCCCGACTGCCTACAATAAATAGAGCTCTAGTAATTAGCGATGTACCAATATACGAGAAAAAATTATCCATTTAATATACGGAACCATCGTTGAATATAAAGAACAGAATACTAAGAAAAATGTGAAAAAACGACTAGAATAGTGAAGGTCGGTTTCTCTTTTAAAACGTAAAACTATCTTGGAGCGTGGGTGTGCGTATGAATGTAGAAAAAATCCACACTCACACCCTAATCTACACATCTTTTACCACTTGGTCAATACAGACTCAAAAGCTTTTTCGTATTTTTGAAAATCCTTCCATGTTAGTCGAAAGCTAAATTCTTTAAAGATTTTCATTGGAACATTATTTAATGTCGATAGATGAAGAGATTTTGAGTAGGTCTGTTCGTTCGAGATCGAAAAGTTATCTTGTCAACTTACTTTTATTTATGTTTCAATCGAATTAAATCAAAAGTAAGAATACTAATTAATAATAAACTTTACTGTGTACACAGAGGGACTACCGGGACTTATTTTTTCGCGATTTATTTTTTCTGGCGGACTTATTTCTTTATTGAGGATTTATTGTGATTTATTAATATTGATGCTATCCCAGTATACTCACATACCCACACCCATATCCACATCATCATCTACGTTCTGTATGTCGTCAGGAACTGTGTAGGATTTATCTCAAAGTTCTTACGGACTTATTGAAAAATCCCAATAAATCCCGAAAAAATAAGTCCCGGTAGCTGCTGGAATTTTAATAAAAATCAATAACTAAATCAATTCGATGCATTATATTTGTATAAATTAATATGTACAATTCTCTTCAGTCATATACACTAATACAAACGTAAAAATACATTCATTAGAATACTCAATAGGTTCATGTTTAGAATTAATAAAATAAAGTATTTCAATCACATGATAAATAATAACAGTTATTATTTGAGTTGTATAATGTCTATCATTTTTGTAAAACCCATAAACAATCACAAATAAGATCAGTTGCAACAAGATGTTGATCAATCCGAAGGAACATAGGGATTATATGTGTTAGTAATAATAAAAGTAGTATTATGTTAATCTTCTATAAATACACCATAATTTGATGGATTTTTTGTGGAATTTCGAAGAAGAGAACGAATTTCATCTACTCGGATATTAGAAGATCGTTTGTTTGATTTGTACTTATATCAAAATTCAAAGAAAAATATTAAGTAAAACAGTGAAAAAGAATAATTGTATGTTCATGTTTACATGAACAAACAATTCCTCATCTATTTGATAAACCATTACTTGATAATTCATGACCATAGTCATTAAATAAATAATTCAATTTAAAATAAATCAACCAAATTACTTTATTTGTTTATTGTTATTTACTTTCATTAGATAAATTTGTACATTTTTAAATAATAAATTATTGACACAATTCTGTAAGATTAATATGTAAAACACAATGTAGCTTTGGCGTATAAACAGGAAAATTGTTTTGTTCTGTCAATTTTGTGACATATTTATTCATTAACTGTTATATATGCTATTCTAATCACTACCCATTTGTTACACTTCGTTATAGTGAACGAGTAGAGAAGACGCTAAACTATTCGAATTTTTTTTATATGAACCGAGACTTACACCCTTGTTTGCAAAACAAGGACCTAGTTTTATCAATAGACCGAACTTAAAAAGATTAAGTTGATGAGAAGTAATGGGTAGTTGATCTGGGAATGACTTAAAATTTTTACTAATACATCTTTGCAGTCCTGTTAGATCATATTTCACAAAAATCAAAATAAAATAAATCTAACACCAAATATATTGGTTAAAAAAATATGGAATTATATAATATACATGTTGATATTCTCTTTGTTTTTTATTGATTAGTTGTAATCGAGACAATCATTATTTAAAGTCACAATATTTTAATACAATGAAATAAGACAAAAATGAACAGATAATAAAACATCTTACCTCCATCTAATCATCATCACATACTCGAAAGTTACGAAAGAAAAAACATTGATGGAAATTTTCAAATTCTGTTGAATAGTATTTTCAAACTATTCTTGTCAAATACATTGTGATCATTCGAACATCGAAATTCATTCTCATTAGACTCACGAAGAGATTGAAAAAATAAATCGAATAAACGAACTATCTTATTTTTATACGTTTCAAACATCCTTATTTCATTTTTTTTTCTATCCGAACTTCAAAATGTTGACTCAAGTTTGCAAATTTCTCCTTTCAACTAGGAAACGAAAAATTCCAAAAAAAGAAAAAAATGATTATTATCACAAATTTAATAATTTGTTTTGTTGTTTAAAAAACGAAACAAACGATCGTTAAACATAAACTAGAACTACCACGAAGTATTTCTGGCATACAACGGTATATGCACAATTTCCTTCATCTAAAGTATTCACATAGATTATTTCTTTTTCAAGATGAATTCCTATTTCAATTATCATTACAATCATCTATTCATCTTTAAAACAAAAATTAAAAATTTTCTCCTAATATTAAAAACATGTGATATTCATGTACAATTTTGATTTCGACATTGAAATTGTGTTAATGTACATCGTCATGGTGGACATCTACTTGATTTATCAAATCCATTTTCATAATCATCAACTAAAACAAAAACAAAATTTATTAAACTATACAAAAGATGAAGCAATACTTATTTTCATTACATATTGCTGATTGTACTATATATATCGCTCATCTTGTGAATCACACACACACACACACAGATGTTGATTCTTTTCATTATTCATAAATGATAAATATTGAGATTATGACAATGTATAAATTTAGTATTTTTCACTATTGATTTTTTTATCCAGTAGTTTTTGTAATGGTTGACGAATAAATGAAGAATTAGTAAAATCGGATGAAATAACATAATCATGGCAATAAAATGATATGTTTCGTTCAGCATCATTATAGTTACTCCATCTATAAAAGAATAAAGTATTGACTGCCAAATACGACGCCACTACTTTATTTAAAACAAGATTTTATTTGTAAATAATTATATTATGAACAAAATCTGGACGACAAGTGAAATTCTCCAACT